ACTCCCCCCGTTGTTGTAAGAGTATTAGGACTATAAGTGAGGAGATGGGGTGGTGGAGGGATGCTGTTAAACTGTCAATGAACGGAGGTAAGTTTGCTGTATATATACACAGCGCTTAACTCGTTGATTAAGCACCACTCGTGTCTAATTAGGTTTGATTATCTGAATGTGCTCCACGTGTGTTTAATTAGGTTTAATTATCTGAACGTGCTCCTCCCGAACTTTGTTAATAAAACATCATTTAGAGAGGTTTGGTTCAGTAGCCATGTGTCTTTTTATTCGAATTTTGAAAGAATTACCGTCATTTTAGAAGGATAAAACATAAGGGAGCAAATAAATCAATAAAAATAACATTGTTATTTGCCTACTTTCCCAACATTTGAGTCATTATTATTAAAATGTACATTTTGTTTGCAACAAAAGCTGTAAGTTTATTGGGCTGGATGAGACTCCCGGCCTGAAATTGTTTCCTAGACCGGCATTAAGTAGGCTAATTCGTGTATATTTCTAAATATTTGTGTCTTAAGAGAGCAAAATGTAGGCTACAGTTCTGTGGATGTTTTAGCCAGCAGGGTTAACTAAAACTATTAAAAACTTCTATGCCTATCGACGTAAACATTGAAATAAAGGTTGTTGTTTACTTTTATTTAAAAATTTGGGGTTTTTTTTTCAACCGACAAGATTAGGCTGTGCTGTGTTAAGTGACCCATTAAAAACACACAACATTTTTTCCCCCAGGGGTTTAGTTTAAGCCTGCATGCACAAATAGCTGCATAAAGAACAGAATCATCATCGTATAGGCTAGATGCACCTGTAGTACTTCTGTGGGAAAAAAGGCTACACGAAATTTCTTTCGGTTCATGGTCAAAATGATCGCTTTTGAGAAGCAAGTTCACGGAAAGGAAAGCTGTTTGTTTTCTTCATTATAGGCTACAATGTTTTGTTTTTATTGTGAGTGTAGGTATAGGCTACACACACACACACACACACACGCGCACACACACACAACAACAAAAAACATTCACAGATTCGAATGATCCTTTGCTATAATGATCCGTGCTGAATTGGTCTGGTCTGACTCAGTTCATCATTGATTGGGAGAGACCAGTTCAAACTTAGTGGCTGTGGAAATCAGTGTGCGTGGCTCATTATAATACAAGCAAAACGCCGTAAAATAACGCGCGCTCTGTGCAACCAAAACGGCGTTTTTTACGGCGTCATATGGCGAGATGAGTGGCGTAAAAAGCGGCGCTTTCCATGTACACTAAAACGCCGTCAAATACGGCGTCATTGACGTATTTCGCACGTCTTTAAAACGCCTTATTTGACGGAGTTTGGCTTTAAACGCGATTAATCTATGGCGTATTTCTGACCCTCTTGGCTTGCCATAGGACTAGCGTCGAACTAGACGCGATAGACGCAAATTTGATGCTCTATTTGCGTTTGGTGTGACCGCAGAATGAACAGGCTGCGATGTCAAGATTGCAATGCTGTGTGTGTGTGTATCAGGGCTGCCAACTCTCACGCATTCACCGTGAGACTCACGCAATTGAGCCAATTCTCACGCTCTCACGCCACACCCCCGATTTCTCACGCTGAAGTGTCAACCCGGTCGGTCAAATGCCTGAAAGATAAGTTTATCTATAGATCTACCAGTTGAGCCATTCGTGATCGACTAGTTTTACCGCAAATTAGTTAAAATATCCTGTAATCTATAGCGAGCGAGCGTGCATGCGAGACAGATGTGTTGAGCTCCTAACGGCGTGCTCCTAACCGCGCACGGCGAAGCAAGCTTGCGTGTCTTTCGCAACACAACCCAGTGGACAGTTACACTGTATTGAGACAGTTGAGAAATAATAATATTTTTACCGTTTTCAACAATAATTGTCATTGTTGAACCCTTGCTCTTATTATATTTCTGATTTCTCAGTTTTGTCATTATTTTAGCAAATCATTTATTTTATATGTTTTGAGACAGTTTGTTTTAAGAAGTTTTAAAGAGTTAGTAAAAGAGTAAAGTAAAAGTTAAAACTTTTTTATTTAAGTAGGCATCTATTTTTTATTAAGTAGGCCTATTTATTTTGTATTAATACATAACCTTACTGTATTCATTCATAGTGTATCATTATTGCGTGACATTTGTGTCAATAATCGTCAAGCACAGGGGACTTCGCGTAGTGGGAGGGGGCCCCCAAATCAAATTCTGCTTAGGGCCCCCAAAAGGCTCGGACCGGCTCTGGAGACCAGACAGACAGTGTGAGTTTTTTGTGACAATTGTGAGGGAAATACACAATTTATTCCCATAAACTGTGTAGTCAGCCGTTCTCCCTCCCATCTGCACCGTGTGAATTGTTGGTGCGTTCACGTGCTATGGAAAATATGATATTTTCCACTTGTGAACTGGTATTTACCAGTGTGTTGCGTTCAAGTGCTTTTGTTGTCGTAATGTGGTAAAAAGATGGAGATCCAGACCTGTTATTTAGCTAAAACTATTTTAGATTGCTTAAGTCATCTGCTACAGCAAGAAAATGATTTATCAAAACTCAAACGTAAATAATATATGCTGTATATTTTCTAGATCATGAATAGTACATATTTTTACCATTCACAACTCTTGCGTTTCTCTCTGCCATTTTGAAAAGGTCAAAGGTAATCTCATCTCGGCAACTCGTGCATCAAAATATTCTACGAGTTGCCCAGTGGAAAATACCACATGAGGGGGTGTTCATGTGCATTTTCCATGTCGGCTTTTGGTATTTACCATAATTACCATAGCACGTGAACGCACCATGTGAACGCAGGCAGGTCAGTGAGTTACAGGGCGCTCCTTGTCTCCATCCAGTTTAGGCTGGTAATAGGCCTGTTATATAGTTTATATAGAATTAAGTTAGCAATAGCAGAGTTGTTTGTTTTGCAGCACTGAGCAGTTATTTTACATAACTTTATCATAAAAACAGTACAAAAGCATTTCCAGATGACAAATATGGACATGCCTAGTAGTTAATGTTAATTATTGTTTTCTAAGAACAGAATGTCAATTAAAATGTTAAATGTAAAATTAAATGTAATGTAAATCTCCCAAGAAATTCTGTACAGATACCAAATACTTTGACAATCAATATATACTTAATACACTTCTGCTAATGCAAGGATTTTGTGTTTGTATTTTTCCCCACACCAAGCCACGCCCCTCAATAAGCCCCTCCCCCATAACCCAAGCCCCCCCCCCCCCAAAATCTCACTCTAAGCTGAACTCAAAAGTTGGCAGCCCTGGTGTATGTGTGCGCGAGAGAGAGAGAGATAGAGGCGCGGGCGCGATCGAACTGTGAGTGTGTGAGAGAGACGCCAGCGATCGAACAGTGGAAACATAAAAACATAGGCTACTCCGTCATTTTGTTCATACAGATCATTAAACCTGCAAAGTGTTTACTTATATTTGTGTACACTCGCAATTAAAACACAGCATTGTGCTTTTGTCACACTGTAAGCTCTTGTCAAACTGTAACCTACAACTGTCACCCAACCAAAATCACACACACACACACACACACTGTTTTAAAAGCAAAACATATTTATCCAACTCCATTTCAAAACAGTCTGTGGGTCCCATCTTTTGGACATTCGTCATATTGCTTTGGTTTCCATTTCTTGTCCTCGGAGCGCTAATCTTACACATTCTACATTGATTAAAAAAGAAAATCGAATGTGTTTTTAATGGTAGTAGTATTTTACAGAAATCAATTATTTATAATTCAGATGAGAATAATGTTACATGGTTAATTAATAATGTTAATTAAAATTAAGGAAAACAAATATATTGATCTGAAATATAGCAAATTTATTTTAAATTAATTCCGGTACAATTACCAAACATATTGCAAGGTCTTTTTGTCTTTTTATAAATTTAATTAATAAACTAATTATAATAAACTATTGTCAGTGCACTACAAATAAACTGGTTATATGCCTTTATTAATAAAACTTATTTAAAAAATACAATGCCTTCTGCATTTTTGTTTTGCTTTTCCCTCCATTGTACCGAAATCGTACCGAACCGTGATGTCTGAACCGAGGTATGAACCGAACCGCGACTTCTGTGTACCGTTCCACCCTTAATATATATATATATATATATATATATATATAGACTACCATTCAAAAGTTTTGGGACAGTAAGATTTCTTTGTTATTGGTTTTGAAAGAAATACACACTTGTTTAGAAAAAGTGTCAGTAAAGATTTTTATGTTGATACATAAAATTTCTATTTTCTACTCTTCAAAATTTCCCATAAATGAATTTCACTTAATGATGTTTGGATCTAATTATTTTGGAGGCCACATGCAGGAGACATTTGACTTCAAGTTGGTGTGAATGAAACTCTTTTCTTTTTTAAGCAATGGCATTGTTATCATCTTAAAAATGGAACCAGCAGGAATAGTGCAACAGAGGCTACCACTATTGCAACCTGGTCTTGCGAAATAGGCTCATATGCTTTTGCCATTATATGGCCATGCAGAGCCATCATTAGACTCCCTTAAGATGGCTACCCATATACCCTATTATACACTTAAAGTTTTTACAGTTGGCAACACATTTTTGGTTTTCTATATGTAGCAACTGGCCTGTAAAGTAATCATCTATCCTTATTTATGAGCTTCAGTGTGCTTGTTTGACACATTCTGTCATTATTTTTCAGACCATTGCCCTTGTTAAAAGATTTGCTGTTTATGTGCAACTACTGCCTCTTTGAAACTCTACTTGCTGTCTTGTTACTTTGGGAATTCACATATCAAAGTTCTAATTATCAGTCCACTTTTGGAGCTGACACATGCTGCTAATTGGTCATCAGCTTGAATTGAGACACATCTGTGCACTTGCATCAGCAATTGTGATATAATTATTTACTTTCGTCAAACTTGCAATTATTAATTTTTGAAACCACGTTTCAAAACGCAAAGAAGTCGTGTAACCCGTTTTGTCGATTTGCTTTCGTCCCCAGGCTCTGAGCAAGGAATGACTACGGAGAAGCCTGACGCTCCCATGTATGTGTATGAGTCGACGGTGCATTGTGCCAACATCCTCCTGTGCCTGAATGAACAGCGGAAGCAGGACGTCCTGTGTGATGTGACAGTACTGGTGGAGGGGAGGGAGATCCGTGCCCACAAGGCAGTGCTGGCAGCTTGTAGCCAGTATTTCTCCCTGCTGCTCAGGGGCCAGACGGAACATGAGCCGGTCATCAACCTGCCACAGAAGGTGAGTGTCCTCATTTGGCAGAGGTACAAAATCAGAATACATTAACAGCCGGTAAGGATACACCTAAATGACCTGCGCTGAAAACCTCACAAACCTCACATTTTTTATTTTTTTAAAGAAATTAATTCTTTCATCCAGCAAGGACACGTTAAATAGATAAAAAAGAAAAGCCAGTAAAGACATTTATAATGTTACAAGTGTTTAAAAAAAAATACTATTCTTATGAACTTTCTATTCATCAAAGAATCTTGAAAAAAAAAATCCCACAAGAATATTAAGCATAGTAATATTCTTATGAATAGTAATAGAAATATTCTTATGAACACCAAATCAGCATATTAGAATGATTTCTGAAGGATAATTTGATACTAGAGACTGGAGTAATGATTGCTGAAAATTCAGCTTTGCATCGCAGGATTAAATTACATTTCAAATATATTAAAATAATAAATGTAATAATATTTCACAATATTACTGTTTTTCCTGTAATTGTGATCAAAAGATTTCTCTTTTAGGAATGTTGTGTTTCAACAACAAGTGTTTTATTGTACTGATAGATAGAGTAGTTTGGAAGGAATGTGTCAGTGGAGAAAACATGTTTCATCATCTGCAGCTTTGAGTTGATATAATTGCTTTTGTTGTTGTGTTTGCCAGGAGTGTTAGCAGAGTTCCCTCTCAGAACTTCACAGTGCTTGATGAAGTATGATTTATTCATGGTTGATTCTCTGTGTTGTATACTTTAGGTGCTTTGCGATTTCAAAAGCTCAAACTTGTATTACAATATCCCAGATATGTCAGAAGGCTCCCCATTTGCCTCTACTTATATATTAATTATCGTTCATCTTCAAAACACTTAATGTCAAATTGTATTCTGTAATGACCAGGAAATTGGTTTCATATCTCATTCTCTCCTCCTCAGAGCCATGCTGAGCTGCTGCTCTCTTGGTTTATAGTGTGGAGTCTTGGTTTTCTGTGTGTGTGTGTGCATGCGTCCCTGCCTGCTGCCCTCATTAGGATTGCTGGTTATAACATTAAAGGAGTCTCATATGGCGCTTGGCTTCCATAAAGACATGCTTCTGCAGGCGGCAGCTGCTGATGCCAGCTGAAAATAGATCTACAGAATGCTCAGCATTTTCCCCCCCAAGCTTTTCTATTTATTAGTAGCTCTGGGAGGACTGACTGAATGTCTGGGGGAGCTGTATTTTCAGCAGGATGACTTTCTATTTTAAAGATGATGTTCTTGATGTAGTATCGCTGCCCCGAGCATTCGTGGATACCTGCGAGAGCGATAGTGTGATTGAAAGTGATGAGATGGGCGATTTATTTTGGTTCCTGACACTATGCGGTTCACTTCATTTTATTACATGACATAAAGCTTGTAAGACCTTGATAGGAAGCTCACAAACTTTATAGACACAGTTGCTATTTTTAAAATCTTGATTTGAGGATAAGCATTTTTGGTCATTTGTGGTCGAAACATGCCTTTTGACTGTGTAGCCTTTTCTAAAGAAGATATCATGGGGTTCATAGAAGGGGTTTCCTTCCTTACACTTTTTGAAATGCAGGTTTCAGTTGCAAAGAGGTTACAAAAATCTGTTTTTTTTTTTGTCATTTATATTTTTCCGTTCAAAAGTTTGGGGTCAGTACGATATTTTTTTTATTATTTATAATGAAAAGTTACACAGGAATTAATTAAATTTTGATATATAAAAAATAGAAAACATTTATTTTAAATTGTAATAATAATTCACAATACCACTTTTTTACTGTATTTTTCATCAAATAAATGCATCCATGAGACTTACCGACCTCACACTTTTCTGTGGTTGTCTATAAATATCAATCGATATTAATTAATTTGTGTATGCTCATTTCCTTATTTTTTTACATTACACTTGTCATCATCCAACACTCACTTAATTGTTCAAAATGATAATAATTTAATAACAGTTAAATGTAATCTCAAAATAAACTTCTATTTTTCATACTGTACATTAGAATGGTATGATTACGAAGTTCATGTTTGCATTTAAAATCATTTTAGATTTTTGTGTTCTTTTTAAATGTATTTATTTAGACAATGTAGTATTAAAAATATGTCTGCCATTAATTAGAAATATCATTGCATCACTATTACTTTAAGGTCTTAAAGGTACAGTAGTAAAACAGCATTTTGTAATTCTAGGGATCATAAAGAGGGTAACGGATGTATGGAAATTTTGGCAGGAAACCTTGAGTAACAATATAAGTGGTCTTTGGGGAACAAATAAAATGTTACAAAAGTGGCTCTTTTAAATAAAATACTACTGATGACCATGAAATATTGTATTGTTTTCTTTCTATAGATCACGGAGAAAGGCTTTGCCCCGCTGTTGCAGTTTGCTTACACAGCCAAGCTGCTACTCAACAGGGACAACATCCAGGATGTCATGTGCTGTGCAGAATTCCTAGGGATGCACAACCTCGAAGACTCCTGCTTCCACTTCCTACAGGCCCAGATGAAAGGTGAGGTTGATGGCATGCACACCAGCCAGAGTCACCCATTAGAGGACGGAAACGTGCGACCGAGTGACTCCAAACCTCCACTGTTCGGATCAAGGCTGCACCCTGAAACTGAGCAATTGAAAGTCACAGACAACCTCCATCTTCCAACCTTCGACCTCCCTCGTTATCCCAAATATAGAAAGTACCATCAGGTTCATGCTAAGCACAACTCAACCACCTCCTCATACAGCAGTACCTCAAGCTTTCTTGGCTCCTTGCAGGATACCGTCACCAGCAGCAATGCCCGGGGCCTGGAACTTTCAAAGGTGAAAGCAGAGCCAGCCAGTGGAGAAGTTTGTGTACCACTAGAATTGTCTGAGTTGGAGCAGGATGGTCTGGGTAGGGGTAAAGGTTGTGAGATAGAGATGGACATGGAAATGGAGTTTGAAGGAAGGCAACCTAGTTCAACACCAACTGAATTGCCTGTGAGCAAAAGTTCACCAGTGTGCCTGCGCTCCCTTGTTAAAAAGGAAGTCACTTCTTCTAATCATTATCTTACCACTGATCTGCAACCCGCCAACAAAACCTCTCCGTTTCGAGAACAACAAGTTGCTCCGGGTGACTTCCAAAAGAATTATCAGGCTTTTGTTGGGGGACTTGATGTGATGTCTTCAAAGAAGGCTGGGAAATTAACTGATGGGGTGTCGTTTTCCTTTGAGAGGGTCTGTTCGCAGGAAGCTGAACAGGAGAGCGACCGAAAAAGCGTCATCTTTTCCTCTCGGACCTCCCACCATCTTGCGGCACCTGCGCACTCTTATCCGGGTGAGAGCTGTTTGGGACAGGAAACCCCGGAAGACCTATGGGCAGGTTCCAGCCAGTCATTCCCCTGCTCCCAAACACTGTCCCCTACTTCTGTCTCCCAAGAGCCCCCATTCCCCTACCTCCGGCACCTAAAGAGCAGCTGTCCTGTGCCCATTAAAATGTGTCCCCGCTCGTCTCGTGCCGAAATTCACATCAGAACCTCCAGCTCTTGCTCTTCCTACTCCTACGCTGAGGATGGCAGTGGAGGATCTCCTTCCAGCCTGCCCCAGTTTGAGCTCTCTACCTCTCCTTGTTCCACCATGGCGCGATGCCTGGCACTCGAACACCGGGAGCATAGCACGTCGGGGACACCAAAGATCAAGTGCGAGAAGTCATATGACACTAACTCCAGTGATGAATCTGGATCTTTTTCTGATGGAGATAGCGAATTGTTTCCCACCAAAGAGCGCAGTCAAGAGGTTGGTATACACTTTGGAAAAATTTGTTTCTCTTCATTGATTCTTTTTTTATATATAACATATTTTTATTGGAAAACTTGGAGGCTAACAAGAAAATATCCAAAGAAAATAAATAGTATATTTTAACTACTCTCCCCACCCACCCTCAGCATCCAAACAATCAATTACACAGGTAAAGAAGTTATTATACAAAGGCTAAGACAGACAATCCACATATTTTCAAATACAAAAGCACAACATACAGGTCCTTCTAAAAATGAGCATATTGTGATAAAGTTCATTATTTTCCATAATGTAATGATAAAAATTAAACTTTCATATATTTTAGATTCATTGCACACCAACTGAAATATTTCAGGTCTTTTATTGTTTTAATACTGATGATTTTGGCATACAGCTCATGAAAACCCAAAATTCCTGTCTCAAAAAATTAGCATATTTCATCCGACCAATAAAAGAAGTGTTTTTAATACAAAAAAAAGTCAACCTTCAAATAATTATGTTCAGTTATGCACTCAATAGTCAATACTTGGTCGGGAATCAGCCTGTGGCACTGCTGAGGTGTTATGGAGGCCCAGGATGCTTCGATAGCGGCCTTAAGCTCATCCAGAGTGTTGGGTCTTGCGTCTCTCAACTTTCTCTTCACAATATTCCACAGATTCTCTATGGGGTTCAGGTCAGGAGAGTTGGCAGGCCAATTGAGCACAGTAATACCATGGTCAGTAAACCATTTACCAGTGGTTTTGGCACTGTGAGCAGGTGCCAGGTCGTGGTGAAAAATGAAATCTTCATCTCCATAAAGCTTTTCAGCAGATGGAAGCATGAAGTGCTCCAAAATCTCCTGATAGCTATAGCTGCATTGACCCTGCCCTTGATAAAACACAGTGCACTAACACCAGCAGCTGACATGGCACCCCAGACCATCACTGACTGTGGGTACTTGACACTGGACTTCAGGCATTTTGGCATTTCCTTCTCCCCAGTCTTCCTCCAGACTCTGGCACCTTGATTTCCGAATGACATGCAAAACTGAGCAACAGTCCAGGTGCTGCTTCTCTGTAGGCGCTTCTGCCGCTGTTTCTGGTTCAAAAGTGGCTTGACCTGGGGAATGCTGCACCTGTAGCCCATTTCCTGCACACGCCTGTGCACGGTGGCTCTGGATGTTTCTACTCCAGACTCAGTCCACTGCTTCCGCAGGTCCCCCAAGGTCTGGAATCGGTCCTTCTCCACAATCTTCCTCAGGGTCCGGTCACCTTTCTCGTTGTGCAGCGTTTTTTTGCCACACTTTTTCCTTCCCACAGACTTCCCACTGAGGTGCCTTGATACAGCACTCTGGGAACAGCCTATTTGTTCAGAAATTTCTTTCTGTCTTACCCTCTTGCTTGAGGGTGTCAATGATGGCCTTCTGGACAGCAGTCAGGTCGGCAGTCTTACCCATGATTGCGGTTTTGAGTAATGAAACAGGCTGGGAGTTTTTAAAAGCCTCAGGAATCTTTTGCAGGTGTTTAGAGTTAATTAGTTGATTCAGATGATTAGGTTAATAGCTCGTTTAGAGACCCTTTTCATGATATGCTAATTTTTTGAGACAGGAATTTGGGGTTTTCATGAGCTGTATGCCAAAATCATCAGTATTAAAACAATAAAAGACCTGAAATATTTCAGTTGGTGTGCAATGAATCTAAAATATATGAAAGTTTAATTTTTATCATTACATTATGGAAAATAATGAACTTTATCACAATATGCTAATTTTTTGAGAAGGACCTGTATATACACATATCAATCAGTGGAGTGAGAGGTATCTAATATTGCCTGTGTAGATTGTATGTAAAATAAGATCCCACATTTTATGATAGTCTTTTAGTTTTCCCTTTATACGGTAGGTTATTCTTTCCAAAGCAATATAACATGACAGATCTTTCAACCATTGATCAATGGATGGACATTCTATGTTCTTCCAGTAAAATGCTACTTAACGTCTTACAAGAACTAGACAAATGCCAATAATTTTAGTGTGATAACCTGATAATGATAAACTTACAGGAACCCAAAGCACATATTTCAGGGGTCATTGGAATTGGTTTTGAGATAGAGGAAATTAGTGGCGTCACTTTTGCCAGAATCCCTTTGTCGATTCTGTATTCCAAATAATGAACAATAAGAAGAAATTAAAACTTGCAGTGTTGTAGCACAATTAATCAAAATAAAACAAAATTTTGCAAAACACAATTTTTATCAGAAATATCGCAATTCGATTTTTTTTTTCATTCCCCAAAATTATGCAACCTTGTTCCAGTGGTTAGCGCACTTGCTGTCAAAATTTGAGCTTTTGATAGGCACAAATGCAAATCTAATACTTAATCCCATTAAAAAGCAAAATCTTCATGAATACATACGAAAAATGTAATCATTACAAAACATTCCCACATGATTCCCCACCATGAAATTGAGAATAAAACTGCAGGAACTTGGCAAACACTGGAGGGTTGCCATGGCAATAAGCTCTGAGCCATTCTTGTTCCTGATGTCTCAATGACATAATTGTTCCTCCTCCTCACAACACTGACACATTGCCAGTTCAAGAATCTGTGTATGATAATTTGCTGTCTCATTCAAATCTTGTTTGATTTTTGATGACCCAATTGAGGAGTTGTTGTCAGTTTACAAGTGACTACACAGATAATGCATTTTTATGGGTTTCTCAGATATATCCCAGATATTTACACAGCAGCATTATGAAACTGATAGCTTCAGATTCTACAATCTTATTGGATGACCTTTCTAAGCCACTGTGAAATGGCTGATATATTCACAGCTGTGACTAAAAATTAGTTCTATATTATTGTGCCAAGTTTCTGCATTCCCAAAAATCTATAAAACAAGATAAATTTACTTAAAGCCAAACTCAATAAGATATACTGCAAGTTAAGAAGTACTGCAAGTTACGTAATCAGATTACTGATTTCAAGGAATTAATAAAGTAATTAAATCTCACCGATGTGATTAGAACGTTCAGTACATCAAACAGACTATATAAAATGGCAATGTCTTTTATTCATATCAGATACACATTGAGTAGGTATTAGGTAACTATAAAATTGACTATTTCTTCTCCCACTTTATTTTGATGGCTGCAACAGACTCCAAAAAAGTTGGGACAGAGGCACGTTTACTGCCGTGTCACATCACCTTTCCTTTAATTAAACACTTCTTGAATGTTTATCAATTGAGAATACTAATTGTTGCAGTTTTGCATGTGGGATTTTTGCCCAATCTTGCCTGATATAAGACAGCTGCTCAACAGTCCGTGGTCATTGTTGTCCGATTCTCCTTTTCATGATGGGCCATACATTTTCAATAGGAGACAGATCTGGACTGCAGGCAGGCAGTCAAGCACATCCCTTCTAGGGTGAAGAGTGTCTAGAAACCTAGAAACCACTCTGTTGTAGCACTGCACGTGCTACAACAGAGTGGTTTCTAGACACTCTTCACCCTAGACGGGATGTGCTTGACTGCCTGCCTGCAGTCCAGACCTGTCTCCTGGTGAATGAGGCCTGGCATTGTCTTGCTTCCCAGGAAAGATGTCCTCTTGATGGTAGTATATGTCTCTGTACAATCCCAGTATACAGTATGTCTCCACATCAGTGTTACCTTCCCACATATGCAAGTCTCACATACCGTTTACACTGATGCATCCCCATATAATGACAGATGTTTGCCTTTGCACCTGTCGCTGATGAAAGTCTGGTTGCTCCCTTTCATCTTTGGGACTGAGAACTTGATGTCTGTTTTTTTTTTTTTTCAAAAACAAGCTGAAACTTGGACTCATCTGACCACAGCACACATTTCCACTGTCTTTTAGACCATCTGAGATGAGCTCGGGCCCAGAGAACTTGGCAGCATCTCTGCATTGAACAGATGTATAGCTTTCTCCTTGCGTAACAGAGATTTTTGAGTTGCATTTCTTGATGCAGCGGCAGACTGTGTTCAGTGACAACAGTTTTCCAAAGTACTCCAAGCACGTGGCTTTATTTGACATAGCAGCATGATGGTTTCTCATGTAATGTGCATGATTCTGAGGTCACGCACATTCAAAGGGGCTTCCTGCCTTTCCCTATACGGACTGAGATTCCTCTGGATTCCATTAATCTTTTCACAGTATTATGTGGTAGATGGTGAAAGACCTAAATACTGTGCAATCTTGCATTGAGAAATGTGATTTTTAAATTGTTTGGCAATTTTCTCTTGATATCTGGCACAAAGTGGTGAGCCATGACCCATCTTTGCATGCAAAGACTGAGTCTTTGGTGGATGCTAATTTTATACCAAAACACGTTACCCTCACCTATTTCCAGTTTTTCTGCTAATTGTGGACCGTTTCAAAACGGCTTAACTTGGATATTCTATAATCTTTTTACTGTTATTTGACCTCTGTTGGAGTGTTGTACAAAATACAATTAAATTGGCCAGTGAAAACATTGGAATTTTTTTTTCTTTTGTCAGTTAAATAAAGGTTAAAGAGAATCAACAAATCGCAGATTCTTGATTTTATTACATTTTACAGATATAAATAAATTACTGCACTTGCAGATAGATTATTTTCATGTTTGTAACTTTTTTGTAGAGGGAATGGAAAGGCGTAGCACCAAACACTAGTCCCAAACAGATGAATGAACAAACTTCTTGCGCTGTGTGTAGATCCAAAAAAAAAACAAAAAAATCTGAAAAAAGATCCGCACACAAAAATTTGCCAAAAAGTTCACAAGATTTTATTGTCCAGAGGCCACAAATAAAGTGCAAGGTGCACAAAACGTTTTCAGGTTCAACCCTTCATCAGTGCCATATTTCAAACATACGTCTGCGGTCATTTACAAGCTTATTACCGTAATCCATATAATATTGAATCTGACTTTATCCCATATAAAAATAATTACATGAATAGCCTACATAATCATACATATACTGTACATTATAACAACTCCATCTACTCACTGTATTCAAAACTTTGAAAATTCTAAAGACATGACCATAAATATTCTTGTTTTCATTGAAGAAAGTACCGTTATTATATGAATACACAAGTCACATAATAGGACACTGAAATGCATAACGGTTACATGATTTGTATTATATATCTCACCGTGTAAATCGACAGATGCACATTGCAACATTTACAGAAAACAATTGAGAGATAATTCCTCATTCATGCCCAAAGTATATATGGGGTAAAGTCAGATTCCGGTATATTATATTGATTATGGTAATAAGCTTGTAAATGACCGCAGGTGTATGCTTGGAAACACATGACACTGATGAAGGTTTGAACCCGAAAACGTTTTGTGCACTTTTGCACTTTATTTGTGGCCTCTGAACAATAAAATATTGTGAGCTTTTTGGACAATTTTCTGATTTTTAACTTTTTTGTAAAAAAAAATTAAAAATCTGCAAGTAGGACAAAATAAAGATATATTCTCTGAAAACAAGTCTTAATGTCTTAAGGAGTGTTGCTTCTTAAGTAAATTTATCAAGTTTGGGGTGTTATTAGATTTTTTTTAACTGGGAAATTATTTATTATAATTTCCAATAATAATAAATATGAACTATTCAACTATTGTAAGATAACAAAACACTGGTAATACCGTGCTACTATTTGATGTTTTTTTTTAATAGTCACAAATAAAAGGAAAATGAGGTTAAAACAAAATGCAAAATTTTAGCCCAGTATAGTGTAGAAATCTCTGCTGAATCAATCTTTCTATAGCCGTCTTTATTCTGCCCTTCACTCAAAGCTCCCAGCTGCAGGTCCCCAGACAGAAGTGGGGCAGCGGCCCCCAGGCTCCCATCTGATGATGGGCCGCTTCACCTCACTGGCTAACAGATGAGCCCTACTTCACAGTATGAGTGTCTTCTCCCAGAAATGACCTGACTTCAGAGAGAAGGAGAGGAGAAAACATGCCTGTGCTGCTGGAAGCCTAATCTGTCATTCTAGCCTTATTACAGAGCTCTCTGTAGTAGAGTGGTTAAATATAGACCTCCATTTTACACAGACTGAGCAGTGGCACAAGGTCACAGCAGAGAGAGGGAGTATTCGTCATGGTGAACACACTATGACAGACTCCCTCTGCTGAGTTTAAGTCAGGTGTCATATCTGTCATTGCACTGAAACAAGAATACAGGTTGCTCTATTTACAGAATTTTAATTGAACCGTAATGTGTCCTGTGCGTATCTTCATTTGCATGACATTTGTGGAGCTGTACTGTGATTGGCTGAACAATCTAAAGCCAGTCAAATGAAGCTCATTAAAAATACATTAACAACTGTTTATATATATATATATATATATATACACTCACCGGCCACTTTATTAGGTACCCCATGCTAGTAACGGGTTGGACCCCCTTTTGCCTTCAGAACTGCCTCAATTCTTCGTGGCATAGATTCAACAAGGTGCTGGAAGCATTCCTCAGGGACTTTGGTCCATATTGACATGATGGCATCACACAGTTGCCGCAGATTTGTCGGCTGCACATCCATGATGCGAATCTCCCGTTCCACCACATCCCAAAGATGCTCTATTGGGTTGAGATCTGGTGACTGTGGAGGCCATTTTAGTACAGTGAACTCATTGTCATGTTCAAGAAACCAATTTGAAATGATTAGAGCTTTGTGGCATGGTGGAAGTAGCCATCAGAGGATGGGTACATGGTGGCCATAAAGGGATGGACATGGTCAGAAACAATGCTCAGGTAGGCCGTGGCATTTAAACGATGCCCAATTGGCACTAAGGGGCCTAAAGTGTGCCAGGAAAACATCCCCCACACCATTACACCACCACCACCAGCCTGCACAGTGGTAACAAGGCATGATGGTTCCATGTTCTCATTCTGTTTACGCCAAATTCTGACTCTAACATCTGAATGTCTCAACAGAAATCGAGACTCATCAGACCAGGCAACATTTTTCCAGTCTTCAACTGTTCAATTTTGGTGAGCTCTTGCAAATTGTAGCCTCTTTTTCCTATTTGTAGTGGAGATGAGTGGTACCCGGTGGAGTCTTCTGCTGTTGTAGCCCATCCGCCTCAAGGTTGTGCGTGTTGTGGCTTCACAAATGCTTTGCTGCATACCTCGGTTGTAACGAGTGGTTATTTCAGTCACTGTTGCCCTTCTATCAGCTCGAACCAGTCTGGCCATTCTCCTCTGACCTCTGGCATCAACAAGGCATTTCCGCCCACAGAACTGCCGCTCACTGGATGTTTTTTCTTTTTCGGACCATTCTCTGTAAACCCTAGAGATGGTTGTGCGTGAAAATCCCAGTAGATTAGCAGTTTCTGAAATACTCAGACCAGCCCTTCTGGCACCAACAATCATGCCACGTTCAAAGTCACTCAAATCAACTTTCTTCCCCATACTGATGCTCGGTTTGAACTGCAGGAGATTGTCTTGACCATGTCTACATGCCTAAATGCACTGAGTTGCCGCCATGTGATTGGCTGCTTAGAAATTAAGTGTTAACGAGCAGTTGGACAGGTGTACCTAATAAAGTGGCCGGTGAGTGTATATATATATATATATTATTAAATATATTATAGCAATTTTAAATTGCTGCTGTTTTCTATTTTAATATATTTGTAAATGTATTTATTTATTCCTGTGATGGTTAAGCTGCATTTTCAGCATCATTACTCCAGTCTTGTGTCACATGATCCTCCAGAAATCATTCTAATATGCGGACATTCCTTCTTATTATCAGTGCTGAAAATAGTCGCGCTACTTAATATTTTTGTGGAAACCGTGATACTTTTTTCAGGATTCTTTGATGAATAGAATGTTCAAAGGAACAGCATTTATTTGAAAGAGAACTTTTGTAACAATCTGACTCTCAATTGATCAATTTAATGTGTTCATGCTGAATAAAAGTGATCTTAATCCAAAAAATCTTACTGACCCCAAAACCTTTAGTGTACCTAAAATCCGTTATTATGTGTAAAAGACCAAATATTTTGACACAAAGACTCATCTGATATTGAATAATTTTATTGTCATATAGCATTCATGTGAAAATCTTTCAAGAATTTTACTAATAACTAATATATATTCTGATATTGTTCAAACTCTGATAATTTCTTCCTAAACTTTTGTTTGAGAGTTTAAGCTTATTTAGCCGACGAGGCCTTTACTATCAGTGTTCTGAACACAAATAAAAAAACACTTCATACAAGTTAGATGGCAGTGTCATCTAGTGGTGAAGCACCATATATTCTGTAAAGGATGTGTGAAATTTTCCAAATTAACTTATTATAATTGTTTTGTAATTTGTTTATATTTGCTTTTTCCTGCAACAAATGCATCTAACTATGCTCTGTACACTTGCAGGTGAAACTGCCTTTCTCAGTCGACCAGATCACAGAGCTTCCACGCAACGACTTTCAGCTGATGATAAAGATGCATAAACTGACCACGGATCAGCTAGACTTCATCCATGACATGAGACGCCGAGGTAAAAACCGAGTCGCAGCTCAGCGCTGCAGGAAAAGAAAGCTGGACTGCATCCAGAACCTGGAGCGTGAGATTCACAAACTGGTAGGCAACACCCAAAACAACCCTACAGTGTTTGCCTGCGCACACCACCAGAATCTCGATTTTTCTGTCCACCTTCATTACTGTGTGTGCTTCTCCTCCATTAGGTCTGCGAGAGACAGAAGCTCCTAACGGAACGCAGCCATTTGAAAACCTGCATGGGGGAGCTGTGGGAAAACTTCTCCTTTCTGTCTCAGGAGGTCTGCAGGGAGGAACAACTGAGTCCGGATCAGTCTCTATCTCTGTATAATCTACAACAAGACCCAGTTTTATCCGGTTCAACCGGTACAGACCTTAGAATCTCTCCCAGTCCCACCAGTATAGACATCACCCTCACCTCACATGGCAACGTAGTGTCGTCCCCTGACTGTCACACCATAGCTGAACCTTCACACCCACACGTTAGAGTGGACCGAGAGGCTGTGCCGCCCCAGGACACTGTCACCTCTGTGAGGTCAGAGCCCTCCCAGACGGGCAGCTCAAGTGTGACATTTGATTTTTGCCAAGAAATGACTGTGAAGTGTACGACAGAAGAGCTCATTGAGAGGAACTGAGTCTGGTAAACTGCATTTTTATCTTTTAACATGAGTATTGGGTCAATACGTGTAAATGTTACTTTTTTTTATTTTATTGTTTTGCTAATGTTGTTTTATATTTTATTTTATTTTTTTCATTTTAGGGAACTGTTCTGTTTACATGGTGCACCTTATGTGTTTTTGCATGTGTGTGGACATGGATGTGTTCTCATACATACTGTATAGGATGCTAAAATAATTTCTTTTTTGAATATTACTTTCCTTTCATTCATATATATAGTTCTCAGATTTATCTCAGGAATTTCAAACTTAGTTTTGGTGGCAAGGCAACTTCAAATCAAGCAGAATATGCAAATACCGGTATAATATTGAGTGTTTGAAAGTTGTTTTGTACCTATTGTGCATTCAAGCATTCCTAATGTGCATAAAGAAAAAACTAAATTGAATAACAAAGAAACTAAACAGCTTCTCACCTGAATTTGCAAGAAGCCAAGCAATCTGTTTTTCAGCACTGAGAAATGAACATCTGATCTTTCTTTCTCTGCAAAATGTCAGAATAGATCATAAAGCAATCCAGTCAGGATTGACGGTTAGCTGCCTATATATGATTGTCCCCTCAAATATTTTGTGATGAAGCACCATTTGATACAGTCCAGATTTTTTCTACAGATTTTTTCGAAGCTCAGTTTTCTAGACTGTTAATATGTTTGATCAGGGATGTCTGTTGTATATAAAACTCTCCAAGCAAACATTAGTAAATGAATCATTCTGACCTTGTACATTTTGGCAGCTCACATTTTGATCTCTCTGATCTGTTTTGATTCCTTCAGGGTGTTAGGCACATTATCATTTGACTGTTGTCAGATATCAAAGCAAATCAATATTAATTTTCTCTCTTATGTTTGGGTTATATATTTTTAGTGGGGTGGACCTTTATCATTTTTTAAATGTTAAAAAACTTGTACACTTAACCACACTCCACTTCCGGGGTTCAATTATTGAATGTTTTCACCGGTAAAAGATTCCCATACAGTCCCTCCTTTAAATCAGTGTAATTATAACACTTTTACATGTTTGATTTAATAACATGAGGTGAAAGTTCAAGCCTTAAGGTGACAACAGTTGGAAAAATCTCATTGCTGCGTTACATTGTTGTTGCTTTAAGTGACTCGCGTCTATATCGTCACAATATTATAGTTCAATGGTGAGATGGGGTATATGTTTTAATTAAGTCTATTTACTTCAAATTATTGTGAACTGCATGACTTTAATGAGAGATAAGACGTGATTTAAAGCTGATTTTTTTTAATATTTTGTTTGTACCAAAACTTTTGGGATTCTGATCGAACATGTCACATGTTAGCTTAAGTCTGTATTGGGCAAAAATCAAATAGATTTGGCCTTTAAAAAAATCTCATATTGTCATGTGGGTTCATTTGTGCACCATAAACGATGACACTCAAATAATTGACTATCAAGAATTCAAATATGACTTCATAATGTTTACAAATTACCAGATTAAATTCTTAAGAAATCTGTGCATATTCAGATTTTTTTATTATTTTATATATATATATATATATATATATATATATATATATATATATATATATATATATATATATATATATCATGACCTTTGAATTTGGATAAAGCATTTTATCATGGCCTTGTTATATGATGCATCACAGTTGAATATTTGTGATAAGGGCAAATATGAATATTCATTATTAGTTTACATGCAGTAGGGAGAGTTTGAACATTCACAGATCTACCTATAAAATCGATATACCTCTCGTCTCGCAGAACTGGTTTACAACCTTTTTAAAAGACGTTTTACAATCATTTATTTTATGTATATTTTGTATGTATTGTACATATTCTGTTTATAGTTACACAGTTTTTGTGGGATTCTTTGAAAATGATTTTTTTGCTTTCTCTTGTTAATCAAATCTTGAAAAGTTGTGACCTCAATGTTCATAATCTGTATTTGTTACATTCTTGAATGTGTCCACATTGAATTTGTCTACCAGGATATTAAATAAATTGCCAAGCATGTTTTATGCAGATTGAATGCGTGTTGCATCATTTGCTTTGAGGAGTATAAAATTTGCATGATCTGTATTCACCCTGAATTCAAACACAAACACTTTTGGAAATAAGAAAACTTTTATTTTCTTCGTAATTTTTTGTAAGAATCCATCAGCTTGCATCACATTTTATGGATGTAAGCTAAATGATTTAAAAAAATCTTTTTTTTCCAGCTGTCTGAAGGTCTGAAGCTTTTTGAAACATGCACAGATGTCTTTTGGCTTCCATAATTAGACATGGAAAATAATTACACCACGCTTTACTGGTAAATTAAGGTGCTTGCAATAAAAAAAAAATGAACGGTACAAAACAGCACTGTTTATACCACAATAAAGCTGCGTTAAACCAGTGCTTTCCAAGCAGAGCAGATCAGAGTTAAACCATTTGTCGCTGATATCTCCATTCATTTCTGCTCATGAACGGCCTGTTACATTCCTGTTTTCCTTCTCACTTTCACTTTTTCATGATGGAAGAGATATCCAAGAATACACTCTATAAAAAAAGGACATTTTTTTATATCAGTAAACAAATTAGGCACACATTTGAAAAATAATGTACATTATATTATCATTATTATTGTTTTTTAATTAATATATATTAATACAAATAAAATAAAATTTCTTGAATGTAGATGGCAGTCGATGTTTTTTTTTAGAATTTACACAATTTCTTAATAGTTTTAACAAATTTCTTTGGTTAATAACCACAAAATCAATTCATTTTACTGTTACAAAATAAATACGTAAATGGGATACATATATACGCAAAAAGTCATTTTGGATAAGAAAGCTTTTATATGCCTCTATATGACCAGCAGAGTGGTTGTGTGTCATTTGCGTCTACTTGCCATAGACATCCGTCGTCCACCCCCTGGTGGTGGGTTCATGGGCAGGTCGTTGAGGGAGCCGAGCTCGGACTCCGAACTTCTAGTGGAAGGACAGGACGGACTGCCTGACATGCTGTCCGAGGGCATACGGGCCATGAAACTGGCTTTTCTGTTTGGTGGACAAAAGTCACTCTCGGAGGACTCTAAAGCATCACCCCCCAGGTCCGGCAAGCGGCTGGGCCTGTGCACAGTGTTTCGAAGGCAGGCTGGTATTTCGGTATGACCCAAGTTAAAAGGCCTAACGTCCCTCTCTGAGCCGTTACAGCTCTCTAGATGCTGGTTTCGGTTTTCCTGGTCCTCTAGCATCTCCATGGATGCCTGGGAGTGCAGTTCATGGATCATTCCCTGGCTGGGCTGGCGCATTTGGCGGGGCTGTTGGGTTATGCAGGACACCGGGAGAGTGGCCGCGGCGAAACTGTTGTGCCGCATTATATCGCTGCTCGAACCGACGCAAGCGCTGTTTAAGAACAGCGGTGGGTCCATTTGCCCCTGCGGGATAAAAGTTTTCAACTGCGGGTTTTTGTGAGGCGACAAGTCCGTCATCACACACAGTTGCTGAATAGTCGAATGCTTGGGTTTGTAAAGACTGTCGTCCTCGACAAACTGGAGACCGCTTAGAGTCTGTTTAATTTTTTTCACCCCCAGGTGGGATATTTCCAAAAGGTTCAGGAACAACGAACCCCCTGCAATGACAATCATGAAAACCATGAAGATGGTCTTCTCCGTCGGCCTGGAGACGTAACAGTCCACGCTGTTCGGGCAAGGCACCCTCTCGCACTTGTACAAAGGATCCAGTCCTATGCCATATAAGATATACTGCCCCACAATGAACGCCACTTCCACCACTGATCTGGTAAGGATATGAATAATATATGTGCGTAGCAAGGAGCCCCTCAGAGGAGCCTTCTTCATTTTCTTCTGCTCTTCTAGCTTCCTTAGTTCCTTCTCCAACTTCTTGTGCTCCTCCAAGAGGGGTGCCATCTCTTCCAGCTCGGCTCTTAGCTGGATTTTCCTCCTGTGTCGTTCTTTCTCCAAAGCCCTTAACCGGTACAGAGCATGTCCCATGTACACCAGCGAAGGCGAGGAAACGAAAATGATCTGCAGTACCCAAAAGCGAATAAGCGATATCGGGAAAGCCTGGTCGTAGCAGACGTTCTTGCATCCCGGCTGATCCGTGTTGCAGATGAATTCGCTTTGCTCGTCCACCCAGACGTCCTCGGCCGCCACGCCGAGAACCAACATCCGGAATATGAACAGGATGGTCAGCCAGATTTTACCCACGATGGTGGAGTGAATATGAACCTCCTCTAAAATGCTCCCCAACAAGTTCCAGTCCCCCATCTTCACCGCAACATGTTCGTGCTTAGTTTAAGACAAAAAAATATGAGGTTAGCCCTACTGTTCAAGTTGGTCTATTCTTTATTTTTCTGCATTTATGCATTAGCCGTCATGCAGGAGGCTTTTTGCATGGATCCGACATACAAAGGAAGGATGTTTGACATAAATCACAAGTCTAAAAGACATGCACATGCAACAGCAAACTGATCGTATTTAATTTAGCACAAAGTGATAGTTCATAGACACAAACAAAATTACATAACTAAGCGAATCAAAGCATTATCCGAAAAACCAAACTAAAATGCACTTACATTTCAGTGGGATTTGCGGTCTAGTTTCCTTGGTATATAAACAAGCATGTTTTCCCCAACGAGGAAAATCATTCCTTCATTTTACAGCCATGGAGTTTGCACATTAAAACACAGCCAGTCTCTCCGCATAATGTCGGCTACAGTGAATGTTCCCCACAGTTGTTGCATGCAGCGAGTTCACAGGATTTAGAAATTGATCAGAAACTGACAGGACAATGCCCCATGGCTGATCTTATCAAGCAATTGCTGAAAACAGCACCCCCACACGCATAAAAAGTTGCCAACCAACCGAATGTCCCTCATGCAGTCAGTCAATACAATGTTCTGCCTCACAAAATATCATGATATTGCTCTCTAGTGAGCCGTATTCATGCAATCTCACTCATTTTAGCTCAACTACCGGGTTGACTCGAACAACAAAATGGGTCTCAAACTTTAGTAAGCATGCATATTCATCCTATTTATCCATTAATCTTATGTGTTATAATAGTCAAGCCCAGTTTTAATAGCAAACTGTGTTTATTGTGCATGTCTGTCGTATGGAATTTCCAAAAGGTGATCTTTTTATCTGACCCAGCACCTATAGCACAAAACGATACATGTGGAATGTATCAACTCTATTTTACCATTTTTCTTTGTTTTCCCCTTTGAGTTTAGGCCGAAGCTTTCCATGTTGTTTACGTTTGCGAGCACTCAATGTCAAATGAAAGACCTTGCACTCGATTGCATCAGGCCCCCCCACCCCACCCCACCCCCTCCTAAACTCAATCCATCAATACTGCAGTGATTTGTTTAGCGTGTTATTTTTTCTGGTTTTATGTGCCACAAATCTCATTAAAAGCATATTTGCACAATATTGTGCATCTACCCTTTAAATCCAATAGCAATTGATTCAAAACAAAACAAAACATGGGTTTATATTGGAACAACAGGGGGGAACGTGACAAGCCGTGATCCACCAATCAGCATGTGCACGTGATTTTGTTATCCTGATTCGTCCCTGTCCGAACCTCTCAGCTACTGCACAACTGGATCATCTCGCCGATCACACTACATGCTTCATAAAATGACCAGCCATCCCTCAGGGCCTTTAATTAGCTTTCCATCACATGCTGACAGAGTCAATGGGGGATTGATTTGATTTTCCCTTGCAGAAGCTTGAACTGCAAACGCCAGAAGTCACATCAGGGACGTTGCATTACATAATGAGTTCATACGGTACCAAGCGAACGGCGGAACACCATCTATTGGTCTTTGTTCTGTGGTGCTTCATTTGATCTAATTGCCTTGATTGGGGCCAAAATGTGCACAGTGAATTATATGCATTTTTTGAGGAACTGTTTGTAGGATATTTCAATTAGGGGAAATTGTACTTAAAGTGCAAATGTGCAGAAATAGTCATATGTGCTGAAACCATATGTCAGCTTGTCATCCTAAAATAAACCCTGACAGTCTTGCTCCATTGTGAAGGTGTGGCTGTCTGTTAATTGTTTCACTTATTAAGTAATAAAATTACACTCACCAAAAAAAAAAAAAAAAAATCTGTCCCTGGAGTGCCTATTAAATGGTACAACAAGGCTAAAGGCACACCTTAAGAAAATTGTGCTTTTTACTACATCCATAATGTACAATTGCAGAAAAAGTATGTTTTTGTTAAAGATTGATGGAGCAACATATTTTGTGAGAAAATAAATCATAAAAGTGGTTTGTTTGTTTAAAAATCTTGAGGTGGCAAGGTGGGCCTTTTACCCCACACACAGGGTAAAAGGCACAAAGTATTACAAATACTTTAGCTAAAGTAATATGTTTTTAATAATGTCTAAGTTAACACTTGTTCAAAATAATCACTTTAGCAAAGTTTGTACTATTTTCTGTTTATTCTGATAAATAAAAGAATTAATTTTTGTTCGATAAATCATCACATCACCGGGCGGGCTTTTTAGGCGCGACAATATTTCTCCACAGTCCTCTTTCTTTTGACATGCTGGTCAGCTCTTCGTGTAGTTGTTCTTTATCTAGGTCTAGATGTTCGTAGGGCCGATAGACCTAATCCCTGTATGACATTCTTGGTCTACCCCGCCGGTTTGATGCGACTTCCGACTTGTAAAGAACATATATCTGCGTGGTTCATTGTTTCCCATGCGAAGGCAGTGTCCGATGAACTGGTGCTGCCTTCTCCTGATGATGTCACTAATTAGCTGTTGACCTGTCGTGCTGTACAGTTTTTCATATGTCATATGAGATTCTGCTTGGTTGATTCCCAGCATGATTCGGTAGCACTTTCTAGCAAAGATGTTTAGTTTCTCTTCAAAGGCTTGAGTGAGCGCCCATGCCCATGATCCCAAATACTTAAACTCGTCCGCGATTGCGATCGGCTTTCCATCAATTGACAGATTGTTCTTTATTTGGGATTTATCGTTTAGTTGGACTTGAACGGTTTTTTCAATGCTTATCTCGAGACCGACGGCAGAGGCATTTTGCTGCATTACTGTTAGCTGTTGTTGTGCTCGGGTTGGATCGTTCTCGAGAAGCACTATGTTGTCTGCGAATGTGAGGTCGTTGAGTTTTCGTTCGATTGTTGTCTCTTTTCTCTTTTTGGCACAAGATTGTTGTGGCCGTGTGTTTTCCGATCGGGCTGGGGTACCCTTGTGTGTTAGGTAACCGAAATCTCCTGCTGATTGCTTTGAAACATAGTCGATGACAATTATGAATAGGTACGGTGCAAGGACGTCTCCTTGTAGAACTCCTGTTGTGATTGCAAAGGACTTCGAACGCTCTCCTCCAACGTATACTTGGCTTGTCGACTTGTCATACATGATTCTGATTGCGTTTACAATATCCGATGGAATTCCGTAATGACGTAGGATGGCAAACATCATCTCTCGATCAATTGAATCAAACGCTTTCTTGAAGTCGATAAAGGTAGTATACATTGGGATGTCTTGTGTGCACGCTCCATCCATGATCCTACGAAGGATGTGGATCTGTTGAGCACATCCCCGGCCTGTTCTGAAACCTGCTTGGTTGTTTCTAAGCAGTTTGTCGACCGGGCCTCTTATGCGATTGAGAATTACTCTGTTGTAAACTTTGGCTGCTATGGACATTAGGCTGATTCCTCGATAGTTTGTCATGAGCTGTGGGTTACCTTTCTTCGGCATTGGCTTTATCAAGCTTGATGTCCATTGTGTCGGTGCTGTGAGATGTTCGAAGACCAACTGAGATGTTGCGAAGTTGATTTACCACGAATTCACCTCCGTCTTTTAATACTTCGGCTGTCATGGCATAATCTGTGCCGGGTGTTTTGTTACGGTTGAGTGTAGTGATGGCGTCGTCAACTTCTGCTCTTGTTATTTTACCCAATTTTATACCTCGGACGTCCGCTGTTGGAAGTGGGTGGTTGTTCGGGTTGATTTTGGAACTCTTGTTGTTCAGGAGTGTTGAGAAGTAGTTGGCCCATTCTTTTAAAAGATCTTCGTTTGAGCTTGGGATGTCGCCATTGAGCATTCTGACTTTGCTAGAGGAAGCATCTTTGGGCTTTTCACTGATGTCATGGATAAGCTTCCAAACTTTGCGATGTTCATGTTTGTTGACTGCTCGCTCTAGGGCATCGAGTTTAGAGTTGATATGTGCCTCATTGTCCATATCGAATGCTTTAGAAACCTCTTTTTGCTTTTCACGCCATTCTTCTTAGTCTTTTTAATTTTGTGTGCGGTTGTATCTTGCCTTGAGATCTCCTTCTTCGTTGATTAGCTTGATGGTGTTCAGGCTAATCCAGCTTGGTTGTTTGGATTTCGGCCTTTTCTCCAGAATTTTCTCACAGGCTCCGACAAGAGCAGAGTCTAATGCGTTGGTTCGCTGTTTTATGGATTCCGGTGGGTCTAGGCGTGTTGTTTCATCGAAGAGTGCTTCAAATCGATTTCCACACCTCCATATTGAACGCGTTTTTCAGTTCTGGGTCTTTCAGTTTTTCAACGTTGAAAGCGCATCTCTTGTCTAGTTTGATTTTCGATTTTCATAGGCAGAGCTCGAACTTGGCGCACACAATTTTATGTGCACGGACGCGCAGCTGATCGTCAGATGACGAGGCGGAAGGAAATGCCACAAGAGACTGCTGTTCCATTCTGGCGTCGGACAGTGAGGAGTGGTCGGGTTCTCATCACTCCGCCTCCTCCTCGATCCAGGAATCCGGCCGGACCCGTGCTGGAGTGGACGCTGAGCTGATGCGCCTCCTTTCCCAGGCCGTCGACCGACTCGGCCTTGAGTGGTCACCGCCGAAGGAGCCCGCACCTAACAGACTCGACGGCTGCTTTCTTCATCGCCGCCGTCAAGCGCCCGCATCCAGGTCTGCGCCTTTCCTGCCAGAACTCCACACGGAGCTTGCTAAATCCTGGAATGCACCTTTCTCCGCGAGGCTCCACTCTCACGTCTCACGAGAAGGGATACACCTCTATCCCCCCTGTGGAGGAAGCGGTTGCAGTGCACCTTTGTCCGCCCTCTGCGAGATGGTGCTCAAAGTCTGCTCTCCCGTCAAAAGCCTGCAGGACCACGTCTGCCTTTGTCGGCCGCGTATATGCCGCCGCCGGACAGGCCGCGTCCGCCCTGCACTCGATGGCTATACTACAGATCCTCCAAGCCGATCTCCTCCGTGAGTGGGATGAGAAAGGCCTGGATCCAGCTGCCGTCACGGACCTGAGAAGTGCGACGGATCTTTCCCTTCGTGCTACCAAGTCTGCAGCTCAGGCAGGGAGGTGGATGGCCGCGCTAACCGTCACAGAGAGGCACCTCTGGTTGACGCTTGCTGACATGAGGGAGTCTGAGCGCGCTGCGGTTCTCAACGCGCTCTCCCCTACTGGTCTCTTCAGCCCAGCGGTGAACGGGATCGTCGACCGCTTCTCCGAGGTACAGAAGACCACGCAGGCCATGAACCTGTTCCTGCCATGACGCTCTAGTTCCTCTGCAGGTCGCCCACGTGACCAGCCGCCTGCACGAGCCACTACACAGCGCCCAGCACAGCCTAGCAAGCCTTCGCAGCGACGACAGGACGGCCGCCCTAGGTCGCGCTCGGCCAGCCGTCACAGGCCGCCTACCCCACGGGGGCCTCGGCCGAAGATCGCGTTGAAGCCCGAGCACGCGAAGCCCTCCTAGGGGCAGCAAGAGGGAAAAGACGGGTGAGTCCCGCCGCGGCCGGACCACCGTCAAAGCTCCTCTCCCTGTCAGTCCCCTTCGAACAGGCTACTGCAGTGGTACATTCCGCAGCCAACGAGCCAGTAATACGACCCGCTCACCTGCACACAACCGCCGTTTTCACGGCGACCCAGAGAAATCTCATAAAGAGTATAATGTCTGGTTATCCGGCTCACGCCGATGGTGTTTTAAGTGTAG